GCCGTCGCTGGCCGCCTGGGACGTGCCGCCGTTCGCGCTGCCCACGCCCTCCGCCGCGCAGCGGAAGGAGCTGTGGGCCTCCACTGGCGCGGGCTCCCTCGCGGGTCACGAGGAGTAATCAGCGAGGGTGGCGACGACGAAGGCGCCAGTGACGACGACGATGACGACGACGACGAGAGCCAAGAGAGCGAAGAGAGCGAAGAGAGAAAAGAGAGCGAAGAGAACGAGGAAGAGGAGCAGCAGGAGGTGGATAAGGAGGATGGCGAGGGGGATGGAGGGACGAACCGACGGCGACATGGGGAGAGGAGGAGGAGGAGGAGGAGGAGGAGGAGGAGGAGGAGGAGGAGGATCAGGAGAGGAGGAGGGGGAGCAGAAAAGGAGGAAGGGAAGGAGGAGGAGGAGGAGCAGGAGGAACGCGGCGCGAGGAGGATGAACTGAGGCCCGACCCCCTCATATTTGAGTCCGTCGTATAATCGGATGTTCTATTGTATGGGGGCCCGAAAGGTTATTGCGAGAGGTTCTTGGTGAACTTTTTGGGCCATCTTACTGGCTCTCCCGGGCGTCCCGTGGGGCTCTCTTGGGGCTCTCTCGGGGGTCTTTTGGGGCTCTCTTGAGACTCTCTTGGGGCTCTTTGGGGGAGTCTTGGGGCCGTCTTGGGGCTCTTTGGGTGAGTCTGAGAGGCCGCTTGGGGCCGTCTAAGACCCCTTCGCTCAAAAAGAGGGAGGTATTAAAATTAGGCCCCCCCTCGGAGGCCCGAAAGGGGCGTCTTGGGGCCCTGGGGCGCTCTTGGGGCCGTCTTGGGGCCCTCTTGGGCCTCTCTTGGGGCTATGTTGGGCCATCTTGGGGCCATCCTGACGCCTCAGGAGCCCATCGGAAGCGAAAAAGCGAAAAGGCAAAACACTGATGTTCCTCAGGTTTTGAACCCATTTTGGCCTCTTGGGGGGGTCCTTGGAGGACTCGGAGGGCACTTGAAACCGATCTGGGGCCGTTTTGAGGCCTCTTGGATGCGTGTTGGAGGCTATCTTGAGCCGTCTTGAGATACCGTGTGCGATCTTGGAGGCCATCTTGGGCTAGCCAAGCCCTCTAGAAGCTAGGGAGCCCGTCCAGACCCAGGGAGGGGGGGGGAGGTAAACCTCCCGAGCAGGGAAAGGAAGGAGGCTGGGTTAGGAAACGCTCTAGACTCTTAGACCACCTGCGTCCAGAGGGCTGGTGGGATTTAGCGCCCATTAGCGTCGATTCGCAAGAGCCGACATGATGGTATGGGAGGCTTCCATGAGTTGCCAGCGAGCCTTTGACCGTCCATGTTGAACGTTCACGAGCTTGCGGAAGGAACATGCTGGCCTCTCTCTTCGCCCTCCTCCCCGCCATCCAGGCTCCAGGGCCACCACCTCGGCGGGGGCCTCGTTCAACGAGCGCGCCGCCAGCGGCCCCACGCACGGCAGCGACGACGACGACGAGGACGCCCGCCCCCCCCCCCCGGCAGAGCGCGGCCCCTGCCCGGCCTGGGCCCTGCTCCCTCCCCTCGGGCGTCGCGCAGCGGAGGGGCGATCAGCCCAGACAGGATCGCGTCGCTGACAGATCAGGACGGGAGATTGTTGGCCGTCGTCGGCCTCGATGGGGCCCTCGCGAGGCCTCGGGACCGTCAAACACCGACGCAGGATGAAGAAACCGGTCCTGGGGAAAGGATCGGGACCTCGCCTTGGAAAAAAAGCAGGGCGTCGCATGTCTGGGAGTGGAGGGGGGCAGCGAGGGCTGCAGAGAAGGGGCCCCAAACTACAGGGGCACTTTCGGGCCCCAGAGGGGGCCTGCGGAGCCCGAGGAGTGCACCTTTCTTCCCTCCGTCGTGTATCGCCCCCACCCCCCTTTAAGCGACGCCCAACCTTCCCCCGGAGGCTCCCCGGCCAGCTGCGAGACCTCCAGATCGGAGGCCGCCAACTATGCACCTAGACACTGATCCTGGCCAGGCCCGCCCAGGGCCCAGGCATTGGCCAGACCCAGCAGGGCGTCATTATACAGTTAGCCCGCACAGCAAGGACGCACGATAAGGATGCAAGGGCCTTGGAATGCCATGTCGACACTCTGCGAGCGGGGCGCGGCCAGCGAAAGCGGCCAAGGAGGGGCCGAAGGGGAAGGACGTAGGGGTGACCTCGGAGAGTCGCTCATCCTTTCTATGCGGGCTGACTGTGTACGCCGATCCTGAACCCAGGACGGGCCTGGCCAGGACCCGTGTAGGTGTACAGTTGGCGCCCTCCTGCCAGGGGAAGGGCTCGAGGCCTCCTAGATGGGGTCGGAGTAGATGAGGTCGGAGGATCGCGCCGCATCGCCGAGGCATCGGCGATGCATCGGCGATGCGGCTCGATGTGGGGCCCAATTTTCTCCACGCCGACGTCGCCGATGCACAGCCGACGTCGCCAGTGCATCGCCGATGCATCGGCGATGCATCGCCGATGTATCGGCGATCCGGCGAGATCCTCCGACCGCCTCTCTACTCGCACCCGATATAGGAGGCCTCTAGGGGCGCTCCTCGGCTGCGCGCTGCGGCCCTGCACGTGCGTGGCGGCTCCGGGCCCTGGAGCTCGCGGAGCCACCGCCGCCCGGCGGAGGGCGGTGCTCACAGGGACAGAGCTTCCCCCGGAGTTGCCGGGAGTCCACCCCGGGGGTCCCTTCTGAGCCCCTTCGGCGTCTGGGCCCATTCGGCCGCTGAGTGTGCGGATTTTGTATGGAGCCGTCTCATATCAATCTTCCATGTGCTTGCGCTGCGGGAGGTTTGCGAATGCAGCACAGCGCGATTACATTCGTCTGTGTAACCCCAGTATTTGAGAACCCTCCCCCCCGTCCGGCTTAAGGATCACACTTCCCGCACCAGGAAGCGTTATCCCCGCACCAGAATGATGATGTGGCTATCGTTTTGGCGCCGCGCGCATTCGCTTCAAAAGCTTGCAAGAGTTTCATGGATAGAGGGCGGCTTGTTGTTTTTGCTTCAGCGCTGTGCACATTCGTTTCAAAAAATAGGAGCTTCACGGATGGAGGGCGGCTCGTTGCTCTCGCCTCAGCGCCGCGCACATTCGATTCCAAATGGTGCAAGAGTTTCACGGATTAACGGCGGTTCGTTTTCAAACATGTGGCTCGCGCTTTAGCGCCGCGCACATTCGTTTCAAAAACTCGCAAGAGTTCTACGAATGAAACCAGCTCGTTTTCAATATGTGGCTCTCGCTTGAGCGCCGCGCACATTTTTTCAAACATTTGCAAGAGCTTCACGGATGGAGGGCGGCTCGTTTTCGAAATGTTGTTTTCACCTCAGCGCCGCGCACATTCGTTGCAAAAACGTTGCAAGAGTTCACGGGTTGAGGGCGGCTCGTTTTCAAAATGTTGCTCTCGCTTCAGCGCCGCGCACGCTCGATTTCAAAATGTGCAAGAGCTTCACGGATTGATGGCGGCTCGTTTTCAACATGTTTCTCTCGCTTCAGCTCCCCTCGCATTCGTTTTGAAAAACTGGCAAGCGTTTCACATATTGAGGGCGGCTCGTTTTCTTTTAATGTTGTTTTCGCCCCAGCGCCGCGCGCACTCGTTCTGAAAACGTTGCAAGGGCTTCACGGATGGAGGGCGGCTCGTTTTCAAAATGTAGGTTTCGCTTGAGCGCCGCGCGCATAAGTTTTGAATATGTTGCAAGAGCTTCACGGATGGAGGGTGGCTCGTTTTTAACATGTGGCTCTCGCCTTAGCGCCGCGCGCATTGTTGGCAAAAACGTTGCAAGAGCTTCGCGAACGGATGGCGGCTCGTTTTCAAAATGTGGCCCTCGCCTTACTTCCGTTCCACCCGTATGAGCCCTATGAGCCATATGAGCCATATAAGATCATTTGAGCTTGATGGGAATTATGTGTTCGCCCACAATGGAAAGGTCGCTATGTTGGCATGGAAACTGAAGTGAGTCCTTAACGGTGACCGATTAGATTTTGAGTGACCCGCCCGCGCGTGGGTCACCCGATCGCGCGCACGCGGACGCGCGTGGCGAGTTCAAGAAGAGTCGCCATGTTGGCATGGAAATTGCGGCGAATCCCTACCGGTGACCAACTGGATTTCGGGTGACCCGCCCGCGCGTGGGTCACCCGATCGCGCTCGCGCGCCAACGCGGAAGCGCGAGTGCGGAATTCTGCATTGTCCACAAATGGGAGAAATCTCCATGTCTGCTTGGGAACTGAAGTGAACCCGTAACAGTGACCAACCGGATTTCGGTTGACCCGCCCGCGCGTGGGTCACCCGATCGCCTGCGCGCGCGGACGCGCGCGTGGCACGTTCTGTAGTGCCCACAGTGAAAAATTCTCCATGTCGGCCTTGAAACTATAGTGAACCCGTAACGGTGACCAACCGGATTTCGGGTAACCCGCCCGCGCGCGCGTGTGTCACCCGATCGCCTGCGCGCGCAGACGCGCGTGCGTGGGTTCCCCGCGTACTAGTTTTACTACAACTACTAAACTACGTAAGACTAGTACTGTTCTTAAAAACCACTGCTAGTGTTAATGGTGATGATGATGACGCTGTTGATGATGATGACGATGATGATGATGATGATGATGATGATGATGATGATGATGATGATGATGATGTCGATGATGTTGGTGGTAGTAGTAGTGTGGGGCCACGAAGCTGTGTGATGATGATGCTGATGATGATGACGATGATGATGACGATGACGATGACGACGACGACGATGATGATGGTGGTGCTGATCATGGTGGTGCTGATCATGGTGATGATGATGATGGTGATGATGATGGTGGGGATGATGACGATAATGATGATGATTTTGATGATGATGATGATGATGATGATGATGATGATGATGATGGTGATGATGATGATGATGATGATGATGATGATGATGATGATGATGACGGCGGTGATGGACGGAGGGGGATATGGATGAGGGGGAGGGAGGAGGGAGGAGGGGAGGAGGAAGGAGGAGGATCGCGGGGCGCCGTCTCTTCAAAACGAGGACCCAACACCACAGGATGGTTGGGAACAATTTCGCATTCAAGGTGACAATGAGAATTGCATCGGGCGGGGGCGGGGGGCAGAAAGAGAACAGAAGCATTGGCCCAATGCTTCGTCGGATGGCGTGAGTTTTTTTTTTTGTGTGTGTGTATGTGTTTTCTCCCTCCCGCGCTCCTGCGGTTTCTCGCGGGCGGGGAATTATTATTTTCGTGTTTCCGCGGTGCTAAAGATATGGGGCGGGCGAGACGCCCCGGGGGTGGACCGCCCCTTAGGTCGGCCGACGAAAATCAATTTCTAATTCAGGGTGACAACGAGAATCGCATAGGGCGGGGCGGTGGGCAGAAAGACAAGGGACGCGTTGGGCCCGGCCCCGTCGCTTCGTCGGATGGCGGAAATTGCTGTTTTTCCGCGCTCCTACGATTTCTCGCGAGCGGGGAACTGTTGTTTTCGCGGTTCCGCGGTGCTAAGATATCGCTCCGCGCGGGGCGGGGGCGATGCCCTGGGGCGGGCCGCGCCGTCGGGCGGCCGACGTGCATCGATTTCCCATTCAGGGTAAGAATCACAGAGGGTGGGGTCGGTGGGCAGAAAGAGAGAAGAAGCTTCGCACTCGCGAGAGGTCTGCGGTTCGGAGGAGGTGGAGACAGGGAGACTTAAGAGCGAGCGTCGTGTCCGTGTTCTAGGAGACACGCAGACAGGATCCCTGGTGGGCTCGGGACATGCTTTTTCCTGGTTGACCGTGGCTGTAGTTCGGGCGCTTTGGCCCAAGCCGACGAGGCTCGCCCCGCTGTCAGCGCCGCCAGCGCCGCCAGGATTAGGCAGCTAGTTAGCTGGGCAAATGCCGCGCTGTCCGCCCCAGCGCGCCAGGCTCAAGTCGGGGCTCAAAGGCCCGCGCGACCTGGCGTCTGAGTCAGCGCCAGCGCGCGTCAAGCATGCGCAGGCCCCGCCAGGCATTGCGGCGCACCGTGCGCCGGTCAGCGCCGTGGCCCAGTTCGGAATTCAGCGGGCCGTAGCACCCGTGTGGTTTCAATGCTGGATCGCCGCTCAAGGTCTGTCAGCCCGACGCCCCTGGGACTGAGGACAGCTGGGCCAGGAGGAAGATCCGCCGCTATGCTGGCGTGCGCGCGGTGGAGAAGCATAAGGACTACCAGCAGCTCTTGGTCTCAGGCAGCAGGCGCCCGAAAACGCCAGGCCCAGACGACCGCGGCATCGGCGAGCGCACGCGGGAAAAGGATATGTAAAACTGGCGGTTTCAGATCAATTCCGCGCCGGGCGTGCAGCGGCGCCCGGGCGCGGTCAGCGCTGAGACGCCGCTCGAGATCCTTCGCGTCGACGCTCCCGGGACTGAGGGGGGCCGGGTCAGCGGGGGCATCTATCGCAGCGAAATCGCTCAGGCGATTAAGTGGCATAACGACTACCTGCAGCTCTTGCTCTCAGGCGCCAGGCGCCCGCAAACGCCTGCCCCCGGCGACCGCGACGTCGGCGAGCGTTCGCGGGGGAGAGCGATCCGTCAGTGGCGACGTCAGGTCACTGTGGCGCTGAGTGGCGAGGCCGGGTCATTGCGAGATCTGCTCAGCCTGGCTGGTCTGAGACAATTTTGCAAGAATGCTCTCAGGAAGCGCGCAAGACGCTCTCAGTGAAGTCGGCGCAACATTGTCAGCGACGCAGCCACAGGGGGTGGGTGGGGGGGGGGAAACAGAGGGGGGGGGAGGAGGAGAACATGGAGGAGGAGAAGGGGGGCAGGGGCCCATGGGGGCAAGCTGCAGCGCACAGCCGAGGAACGGCTTTCAGTGTTTTCCGAGGAACGGCCGCCAGTGCCTGGAACTTCCTGAGCGAGCCGTTGCTTAGATCTTCAGTGCTTCGATTGTCAGGAGTCGCGCGCATCTCTTAAAACCAATTTGCGCGGCGCTGAGGCGAGAGCCAGCGTTTGAAGCCGAGCCGCCCTCAATCCGCGCAATCCGCGCGCGCGCGTTTAAGGCGGGCGCGCGCGGCGCTCGGGCGAGAGCCGCATTCTGAAACCGAGCTGCCCTCGATCCGTGAGGTTCGTGCAAATTTTTAACAACGAATGTGCGCGGCGCTAAGGCGAGAGCTGGAATTTGAAACCGGACCGCAGTCAATCCGTGAAGGTCTCGCGCGGCTGGAAAAGCGAATGCGCGCGGCGCTAATTCGAGAGGTGGCTTTTGAAGCCGAGCTGCGTTCAATCCGTGAAGCTCGCACGCAGCTTGAATAACCAGCGCGTGCGGCGTGAATCTCGTGCGAATTTTGATAGCGAGTGCGCGCGGTGGTGAGGCGAAAGCCGTATTCTGAATCCGAACCGCCCTTAATCCGTGAAGCTCTTGCACATTTTTATAGCGAGTGCGCGCGGCGCGAAGGCGAGAGTTTGATTTTGAAACCGAGCTACCTCAATCCGCGAAGCCCGTGCACATTTCTAAAGACTAATGTGCGCGGCGCGGAGGCGAGAGCTAGATTTTGGAACCAAGTCGCCTTCAATTCGCGAGTGTCGCGCACATTTAAGAATGCGAATGCGCGCGGCGCTGAGGCGGTGGTTAGATTTTGAAACCGAACCGTCCTCAACCCGTAAAACTTAGGACTTTCTAAAGCCGAATCTGCGCGGCGCTCGGGCGAAAGCAGGATTTTGAAACCGAGCCGCCTTCAATTCGCGAAACTCGTGCACATTTTCAAAGAAAAACAAGAGAAAACGATTGTGCGCGGCGCTGATGCGAGATCTAGATCCATTCCTAGCTGGAAAAAAGGCCGCCTTCAATCCGTGAAACTGGTGCACAACTTTTTGGTTACCATAACAACGATAATGCACAGAGCTGAGGCGAGAGCCAGCGTTTGAAGCCGAGCCGCCCTCAAAGCGGAAAACTCGTGAAATGTGTAAACCGAATGCGCGCGGCGCTGAGGCGAACGCCAGAATTACAAAGAACGGCCGCCCTCAATCCGTGAAGCTCGTCCACATGTATGAAAGCGAATGCGCGCGGCGCTGAAGCGAAAACTAGAATTTGAAACCGGGCCACCCTAGATCCGTGAAATTCGTGCAAGTTGTTTCAGTGAAGGTGCGCGGCGCCGAGGCGAAAACTATATTCTGAAACGAGCCTGGGTTGGGCGTTTTTTTCGATGTGTTGGCACGGTCCTATAATATCATTCCGCTAACATTACCCACGGATTTTTGGTGGAAACAAACGGTTCTCAGAGAACGGGGGTGATTAAGTACTTCATGAGGTTAATGAACCGTTTGTTTGTTTTCCTTGCCACCACACGGTTTTCCATATCGTTCCCGTGTTCATGTCCGGCGCTTTTTTGAATGCGTTACTGGATTGTGCGATTGTTCTGTGCACATTGCGTCGCGGATCTTATCACTACAGGCAGATGTTACCTGCACCAGGATTACTGCGTAAGACAACGTTTTGAACGAAGTCCACTCTTTTAGTTCGAAAGGTCTTAGCCTCAAGTAGGGCAGCCTAGATCGCTCGCGGGTGGCGAGGCGGCAACCGCACATCGCGCGTCGCGGGCCTGGGTCGGAGGGTTGCCCTTCTTCAGGGGGCGGCACGACGGCGCGGCGACAGTCGCGCGTGGCGGGACGTGATGCGCGGTGCGCGAAGTTAGGTGGCCCTACGGTCGGACTGAGGCATCAGACCGAGGTCTGCTCGGGGAGGGTACCCTAATGTTCTTCGTGTTTGTTGGATGCTCCTGTGCATCCATGGGGAAAGGTGCCCTCAGTGATCTTATGGTTTGGGGTGTTTTGGCTCGCGGAGGGTCTCATGTTCTTGAAGGATGTTTTCCTGTCCTAGGTCCGGCCTTGGGTTTTCCGTCCTTGGTCCATTTGCCTCCTTCTCTCCCCCTCTTGGCAACTGAGACTTCCTGGCGGCATCGGCGTCGTGTCTGCGCAGCGGAGTTGCCAGTGCTGCGCAGTGCGAACAGACCTCTTGTTGCCAGCCTGATGCCGTGCGTGTCGAGCGTCCTGCGCGCCTCCCCACACATCCGGGCCCACTCGGCCCGCGCGACGCTCCAGCTCGGCGCCCGCTCGGCCCGCCCGCTCTGCTCCTTCGGGCGAGGCCTCCTCCTCCTCCTCCTCCTCCTCCTCCTCCTCCTCCTCCTCCTCCTCCTCCTCCTCCTCCTCCTCCTCCTCCTCCCCCTCTCCCCCAGTTCTCTCGATGCGTGGGGCCCTCAGAGGTCTGGACAGCTTCCCTGTAGGGCCGGTTTTCGTTCTGCGCGTCGCTTTCTGACGGTCCAGGGGCCCGTGGAGGGCCCCCACTCGAAAACTGCCCGCTCCAACGAATTCTATCGGAGCAACGTCGGACGGAGCTAGGATTAAGTCGGGCCTGTCCCTCTACAGGAGGAATACTCAAATCTGGTTAAAAAAAATACTCGGGGGACGATCTGATCCTCGTCGTGATTCCGTCTTACCGCAGATCTCCAGTTCTGGGTGCGTCACTTCTTGCTTGCTTCCTCTCCGCGCCCCGCCGGGCCGCCCCCTTTTCTCGGAGGAGGAGTGCGTCTTTCCGCTCGAGGGCTGCCACGACGCTGGCGTGGCCGCGGAGCAGGACCAGCCGCTCCAGAGGAGGGAAGGATCGGGTGGATGAGGAGGAGGAGGAGGACGAGGAGGAGGAGGACGAGGAGGAGGAGGAGGAGGAGGAGGGGGACGATGATGATGAGAAGGAGGACGACGATGATGAGGAGGCGGACGATGTTGTTGATGATGATGGTGCTGATGTTGATGTTGATGTTGATGCTGATGATGATGATGCTGCTGATGATGACGAGGACGATGAGGAAGATGAGGAGGATGGAGATGTTAATGGTGAGGATTTTGTGGTTGGTGTTACTGTTCCTGGGGATGATGCTGATGCTGATGATGATGATGGTGATGGTGATGCTGATACTGATGCTGATGCTGATGCTGATGCTGATGCTGATGCTTGAGATGGTGATGATGATGATGATGATGATGATGATGATGATGATGACGATGGTGATGGTGATGATGCCGATGATGATGATGATGATGATGAAAATTATGATGTGATGGTGATGGTGATGGTGATGGTGATGATGATGATGATGATGATGATGATGATGATGATGATGATGATGATGATTGTGATGATGATGGCGATTACGATGATAATGATGAAGATGCTGAGGATGATGATGATGATGATGATGATCATCATCATCATGGTGATGCTGAGGATTGTGGTGATGGGACTGGTGATGCTGATGCTGACGTTGATGATGTTGATGATGCTGATGATGCCGATGATGATGGTGATGATGATGCTTCTGATGATGGTGGTGGTGATGATGTTGATGATGATGCTGGTGATGATGCTGATGGCGATGATGCTGATGATGCTGATGCTGATGGTGCTGATGATGATGATCACATGATGATGATGATGCTGATGCTGATGCTGATGATGCTGATGCTGCTGCTGATGCTGCTGATGATGATGATTATGATGATGATGATGCTGATGATGATGATGATGATGATGATGATGATGATGATGATGATGATGATGATGCTGATGATGATGATGATGCTGATGATGACGATGACGATGATGATGGTGATGATGCTGATGATGATGATGATGATGATGATGATGATGGTGATGATGATGATGATGATGATGATGATGATGATGATGATGATGATGATGATGATGATGATGATGATGATGATGATGATGATGATGATGCTGGTGCTGGTGCTGGTGCTGGTGATGGTGATGGTGATGGTGATGGGGATGGGGATGGGGATGGTGGTGGTGATGATGATGATGATGATGATGATGATGATGATGATGATGATGATGATGATGATGATGATGATGATGATGATGACGAGGAGGAGGAGGAGGAGGAGGAGCATGAGGAGGAGGTTCCAGAGCGATTTTGGCTCAAGGGTATAATTTCCCGCCGCGTCGCGGGGTAGCGCGTGGCTGACTGGCGGTGACGGCGCTGTTCTTCCCCCCCCACCGTGATTTCGGAGGAGGAGAAAGTACCCATACCGCCCGTTTTTCCTTGTTTGGGCTTCCTGGGAGGCCCTCGTCGCCACCGCTGTGTTCGCCTCGAAATCCTGGTCAGAACGCACCCTGGGAGAGGTCTGGGGAGTAGCAGTATTGGTACAAGTTGGTTTCCTCGCGATCACGACTGGTAGCCCTGAGATCCGACGTTGCACAAATTTTGAGACACCGCGAAACATCACGACTGGAGTCCTAGACCCAGCCTTTCTGAGCCACTTTTCGAGCCGCTCGATCTGTGAGGGCCTGGGGCCCGAAACAGGGCGACATCGCCCGTTGCGACGCCAGGATCTGAGAGGGGGGAGAAAGGGATCTGTCCAGAAGCTCGCTGCTGGCACCCCCCCGACGCAGCAGCGAATCTCGGCGGCGAGTCCCGAGGGGAAGTGAGAAGTGGCAGGCCTTCTCAGAAGGCGGCGGTGCTTCTGAGGAGCCCTCGCGCCTCCTGAGAAGCCTCGCGAGCCTCCCCCCGAGCCGCAGACGTCTCCTCAGAAGGCGAAAGGGCCTCTGAGAAGTTCCGCCGCCTTCTGAGAAGGCCTGCCCTGGGCGCCTGAGCGACGCAGCAGCGCCGCAGAACTGACTGCCCGCGGCGGCCTCCCTTAGAGCTAAGCTCGTGCAGCGCCGCCACTCACGGAGCTGAACGAGGCGCGGCGACGCTCGCGAGCTCGGCAAGCGAGCGCCCTGTCGGCGGCCAACTACGCTTACGTCGGGCCTGTCCCTCTACAGGAGGGATATTCAAAATTATCCCAGTGCGACCCTACCTAGGAGTTGGAACCCCTAGGAAAGCAGCATTAGTAGTAACAGTAACGCTAAGCTAAAGCTAAGCTAAAGCTAAGTTAAAGCTAAGCTAAAACTAAGCTAAAGCTAAGCTAAAGCTAAGCTAACGCTAAGCTAAATATAAGCTAAAGCTAAGCTAAAGCTGAGCAACAGCTAAGCTAAAGCTAAGCTACAGCAAAGCTAAATACAAGCTAAAGCTAAGCTAAAGCTAAGCTAAAGCTAAGCTAAATCTAAGCTAACGCTAAGCTAAAACTAAGCTAAAGCTAAGCTACAGCTAAGCTAAAGCTAAGCTAAAGCTAAGCTTAACGCTAAGCGAAAAGCTAAGCTTAACGCTAAGCTAAAGCTAAGCTACAGCTAAGCTAAAGCTAAACTAAAGCTAAGCCAAAGCTAAATCTAAAGCTAAAGCTAAAGCTCCCAGGGGACTGGGGGGAACCGCGGGGCGGGGACTGGGGGAACCGCCCGGGGCGTGGTGCACTGCCCGGCCCCTTTAAGCTAAGAGAGTAAGAACCCTTCTAGGCAGAGCCTAGGTAGGGAAATAGTTTTGACAAACAGTTTGGGGACGATTTTTGGAATATGTTTGAACATGTTTTGCGCATTTTTCGGCTATTTTAAATTTTGTCCCCCAAAATCCCCCTGTAGGGGGACAGGCCCAACCTAAAACTACACATTCCCTGCTCTCCGACACTGCGAACACACAGCACCATAGGAAACGCGACCAGAGCCCTGGACCCCACCCAGACCTCCTCGCGCTGTGAAAGAATCGCGGCGAGCTGAGAAGTGTTTCGCTATTGTCGGCCTTTGGGGGCCCTCGCTGGGCCTCGGGACCGTCAACAAATTAATTATTCGGGATGAAAAACCGGTTCCGGGGAAGGGGTCCAGACCTCTGGGGGTCGACGTTGTGAAAAAAAACCCGACGTCCGGGGGTCCGGGATTGCAGCCTCATGGAAAACGCGACCAGAGCCCTATGGGGGCCGACCGCCGCCGTCCCTGACATCCGCCGATTTAGTTTTCCCAGCCCCTGGCCCCAGAGGTCCTGACCGCTTCCCCGTGTCTATGATTGCCTCCGGATGGCCCCAGGGTCCGAAGGCGGCCCCAGGGTCGGGGCTTAATTGGACGGGGGTCCATGCAAACGGGGGCCAGTCAGAGCGCCGGATCCTGCAGGATCCTGCAGAGCCAGGGTCGCACTGACCCGGGCTTGCGTGCAGGATCCTGCAGGATCCAGCAAAGCCCGACTGACCCGGGTCTGGATCGACCCCGGCCAGTAGATCCCCGACAGGGGCCGACACCGAGAAGTAAAAACATACGCAGACGAATCACATCGTCGGAGCTCTGGGCAGTGCGCCTGGCTTGCCTTCCACGGCCGGGGCTGGCCGCCGCCGCTGCCCACCCCAGACCCCGGCCGTCGTGATTTTCTCACAGCGTCGACCGCCAGAGGTCTGGACCCCTTTTCCCCGGGACCGATTGTTCGTCCTGAGTCGTCTTCTGACGGCCCCGAGGCCCGGATTGGGGCCCGCGGAGGCCGAAAACGCCGCAAAACCTTCCGTCGCCGTTCTTTCACAGCGCGCGGGGGTCTGCGACTGCCGCGCCCTCCACGCCGCGGCCGCGCCGTGGCCACGGGCGGCCGCGGGTGCGGCTGGCCGGCGCTCGCCGTGGAGGGCCCGCTGCCCGACGCTCAACGGCGCTCCCCGTGCCGCTCGTCGATCTCTCCCCCGTCCCCCCTCCCGCCAGGACGGGGACGAGGCGTGCGGCCTCAGGCTCCAGTACGAGATGGTGGGCCTGGACGGCGACGACGAGTACCTGTACGATGGCGGGGGGCAACCGACGCGCGCACACGCAACGTGCACGCGCGCAGCCGACTCTCCCCTTACCCTCAATCCCACATGCTCCCCCCCTGATCCTCCTCCTCGTCTTCCTCGTCCGCATGCTGGCGCTCCCCCCACCGCCGTCAGGAATCAAGCATCTGGTGGAGAAGAGCTGCTGAGCTCAAACAGCCATATTATTCCTATCATTCCGCCTCCTTATCTTCTTTTGTTTCGGAGCTTCTTATGATTCTTCTGATTATTTATAGTGTAAGTATTCATATGATTCGTCGTGTTCTTCTGATTGCTATCATTCCTCTTCCTCCTCTTCTTCTTCCTCTTGTTGTTGTTAATTATTATTATCATCATTAGTAGTATCATCATTCGTATTAGCATTGCTATTTTCCTTTCAAAATACCAGTATTTTTATTATGTTTACCATCATTGTCATTATTACTATTCTTATTCGTATTATTATTTTCATTATTATTACTGTTGTTGATATTATTATTATTATCATTACTATTATTATTAGTATCATTATTATTATTAGTATTATTATTAGTATTATTATTATTATTATTATTACGACTATTCGTATTATCAGTATGGTTATTGCTATTCGCATTATTAGTCTTGTTAGTATTAGTATTAGTCTTATTACTGTTGTTATTATTATTACTGCGATTATTATTATTGTTATTACTATTCGCCTTCCTCTTCTCCCCCCTCTTCCTATAGTATTGGCGTCGGAGTTGCCTCTGCTTCTGGACGTGCTGACTGGTCTCCCTGCCCGTGCCCCTCGTCGCCTTCGGCGCGCGCGCCGCGCTGGGCTCGGCCTGAAGACAGCGAGGCCGGGGCCAAGGCTGCGTACGATACCGAGGAAGCCTGCCAGGAGCCCAGGTCCCCGGGCCCCCAGCCCAGACACCCGACGTCGTGATTTTTGTTCGCAACGTCGACCCCCAGAGGTCTGGACCCCTTTCCCGAGACCGGTTTTTCATCCTGATTCATTTTTGACGGTCCTGAGGCCCAGTAAAGGCCCGGAGGCCGAAACTCGTGAAAAACCTCCCGCCGTGATTTTTTCATTGCCCGAGGGGGTCTGGGAGGGGGGGTGGGAAGGGGGGCAGGTCCGCTCCAGGGCAGTCCTTGGTATCGCTGATTCGAAGTCGATGCTTCCCCCCCCCAATGCCCATCCCCCCCTATCGCTTTGGGGGTGGACAGACCTCATGCCCTGACACGTCGATTAAGGAATTGGCCGTTTTCGGTTCGCGAGAGGGCGTGGCGGCCGTCATTTTTGCGGGTACAGGTCCGTCGGTTTCGGTCCCAGGCCGTTTTCACTAAAGGGAGGTTTACTAAAGGGAGGTTTGTCCACCGCCGATCGTTGCCCCTCACTAAGGCGGTCGGTGGGAGGAGGATGGGCGTCACCCCAACATGCTTATGCTACGTGTGCGTCGGCCACCCCCCAGGGGCGAGGAGGATGATGATGATGAGGAGGAGGAGGAGGAAAGGGGAGGAGGAGGAGGAGGAGGAGGAGGAGGAGGAGGAGGAGGAGGAGGAGGAGGAGGAGGAGCGCGCGCCGAGAGATTGTATAGTGTAGGCTCCGTGGCGGGCGCTTGCTGGCCATACCGCTCGGGAAACGATGTGTCACAAGACTGTTGATGCTACATGTTCGGGTCGGGCGCACGCCTCCAAGGATGACACATGCCAGTATGTCCTCGCGCGTCCCAGAGGAGTGCTTCGGCTCGCGGGCTCTGCAGGGTCCGTTTCGATGCGCTTGCTCCGATTCGGTATCGTCGCTGGTCGGCCCGATGCGGTCCGATTCTGATTTCTGGGCGATCCGAAGTCGAGTCCGTGCCGATGCGGCACGATTCGATTCACGCTTCGACCCGATCCGATCTGCCGATCGGAGGCTGACTGATCCTGGCTCTGCGGCGGGCCGCCCCAGCCGGCCCCCGCGCCTCGCCCGATGTCCCTCGGCTCTCGAGGCTCCTCTTGCAGCTGCCTGCATCCACCAAGAGGCACTCCGCCTCGTGTCGTCCGATGCTTCTCGGTCTTCCCTGGGCGTCCCGTGGGCTTCGGGTCGTGGGCTCCGCGGGTGGCCGCTGCGGCCTGCCCCCCTCGCCTCGCCCTCCGCCTCCTCCTCTTCTTCCTCCTCCTCCTTCTGCACGCGAATCTGCCCACGCGTACACAGTGATGTGCTTTCACGTTTGTAACAAAGTCCGGCACGCAGCTTCCCCTCCTCAGGCAGACTCCGCATACATTCGCTTACTTCGAGCAGCTCAGGCCGCCATCAGCATGTAGATGAGATCGGCACCTGCTGCGCCTCATGCTACTTGCGCTCCTCCTCCTTGTCCTCCTCCTCCTCCTCCGTCCGTAGCCATTCTGGCTCAAGCCGCTTCGGATTCGAATCGCAACGCAGCTGAGCCTTCTGGGCAGCCGAGACTGCACAGGGACCCATGGCGTGCGCCAAGATGCTCCTCGCGCTGCTCGTCGTCCCCTTCCTGCAGGCGCAGGCGGCGCTTCTGGCAGACAAGTCCAGGGCGCATGCGAACCCAATCCGCAAGGTCGTGCAGATGCTCCAGGCGATGTCGAAGAAAGTTACAGAGGAAGGTGAGAGGGAAACTGAGCTCTTCGAGAAATTTATGTGCTACTGCAAAACTGGAACCTCCGACCTCACAAAGAGCATCGACGCGGCCGAGACGAAGATTCCGCAGATCGCGGCGGACCTGAAGGCGGCGGAGGCCGACCTGGCCGAGACCAAGGAGGGCCTGAAGCAAGACCAGGCGGACCGCGCTGCCGCCAAGGAGGCCATCGCGGAGGCGACGGGTATCCGCAAGAAGGAGAACGCGGCGTTCGTTGCTGTCAAGGACGAGCTCATCGCCAACATCGCCGCACTCCTGAAGGCCGTCAAGGCACTCGAGAAGGGTATAGCGGGGTCCTTCCTGCAGACTGGCGCAGCCGACCGGGCGCGCAGGGTGGTGGCACAGGCCAAGGACCTCCTCGAAGAGGACCGCCAGCAGGTGCTCTCCTTCCTGTCGGGCAACCCCTTCTCGCAGGGCTATGCGCCCTCGAGCGGCCAGATCGTCGGGATCTTGAAGCAGCTTGGCGATAGCATGGCCACCACCCTCGCCACGGAGACGGCTGCCGAAGAGAAGGCTGTTCACGTATACAGCGAGCTGATGAAGGCCAAGACTGCCGAGGTCGACTCGTTGACCGAGGCGATCGAGGCAAAGACCACGAAGATCGGTGACCTGGGCGTGGAGATCGTTACGCTGAAAGACGACGGTGACGACACGGCGGAGGCGCTGGCCGAGGACAAGGCCTTCCTCCAGGAGCTCGAGAAGGGGTGCGGCACGAAGGCGGCCGAGTGGGAGGAGCGCAAGAAGACTCGCTCGGCCGAGCTGCTGGCGTTGGCGGAGACGATCAAGATCCTCAACGACGATGACGCGTTGGAGTTGTTCAAGAAAACGCTTCCAGCCCCAGGCGTTGGCCTCATGCAGGTGCGCGTCAGCTCCCGCGACATGCGCGACCTGGCGGTGTCGGGGCTGCGCCGCGCGCGCCAGGCGGGCAACCGCCAGGACCGCACCAAGCTGGACCTGATCATGCTCTCACTGTCAGGCAGGAAGGTGTCCTTCGCCAAGGTAATCACCATGATCGATTCAATGGTTGCCATGCTGAAGGAGGAACAGCTTGCGGACGAGCACAAGAAGGAGTACTGCGAGCTTCAGTTCGACGAGGCGGACGACAAAAAGAAGGAGCTCGAGCACACGATGGAGGTGCTGTCCAACGAGGAGCAGAAGGCCACGGCGGCCATCGAGAAACTCACGGAGGAGATCGCGGCCCTCGTTGCGGGCATCACGGCGCTGGACGAGTCCGTCGCCTCCGCCACTGCGCAGCGCAAGGCGG